ACGCTGTGTTGCCCATTACGGAGTAAAGATCCATTGATACATTGCGAGCCAATATATTTAGATAGGGAAGTAGATACTTTTCTATATCAGGGTACCCGAGCCGTCCAGAAGACGCCCTGGAGACATACTATAATATGTCGTATAATTCCCATTGGAACAACCAAATGGACCCCTTCTGAGACCTTCCTTAACAAGGTAAAAAAAACATAGATTCCACTCTCTACCCAATTGAACGTTAAGCAGCTCAAAGGCAACACAGCACTTGAAGTCTGTGCACAAGAAATACAATCTGCTAATGACACTACTGTTAAGAAGCATCAGTCTCTAGCTAGGACTCTGTTTAATAACATAAAGTCCAAGCCCGAGGTCTTTCAAACCCTATTTCTAAAGGGATTACTGAAAGACAATTCTGAAGCTTATACACATATAATGCGACTGTTTAATAAGTCAGGTGTATCAAACGCATACGAGTGCACTCATGACACTCATGCGTAAGAAGGGCAGGAGTCTGAAAACACTACAGACTTAGAGACCACGTAAGTGGATTCTCAACACCTTACCTATTCTTGCTTGGCTGACGCAAACCAATAAGCTGAAGCACCAGAACGTAGTAGACGCACTTAAAGATGTTATGCGAAATGGGATCGCGCACCTAAGCTGGCAACTTTAGTTGACAGAGTGTATCAGTCATGTACAGACTGTGATCTCAATCAGATTGAGCGCTATGGGTTCGCACCGCTTAAGAGTGTGACTGAAGATGTTCTATGGCGCAGGGTCACCATTGACCTGGTTGACCTGCCCACGTCTGAGCACTCAGGCGACCGTTACGTATGCCATTTCTTTGATGTGGCGTCACGGTTCAACTTGCTCTATCCATTAAAGGATAAGAATACGCAGACCGTGGCAGAATTATGTTGCAAAGTCTTTGCTAACCACGGGTGGCCACGTATTATGTGCACTGATAACGGTAGTGAGTTCTGCAACGACGTAATGGAATTACTAGTACTCGTATCAGGCATATGCCATAAGAGAGGTGTGCCATAGAAGCCGCAAACGCAAGGCGCGAAAAAACGCGCCATAGAAGACTTAAGTTCTTCTTGCGTACTGCATTGACGGATGATGCAGATGATTAGCCTAACCATTTTAAGTGGGTACAAACACAGATAAACGAGTGTGCTGATCCTGTGTAAAAGTCGGTCTCCTCTAGGCTGACTATACGATACCAATACGTTTACGTTAATAAGACAATACGTTAAAACGTTTAAGTACAAAATGTTAAAAATAAGTTTAGCTTCAGCCCTTGGTAGTGAGCAAAAGATTAGCGGATTTTAGACTGAGACTATTGTCTATATGCTCCGCTCTAATCACTCACTACTTCGGTCTAGATTTATTTATGTTTTAGTTACTAAGACTAAATATCATTTCATTGGACGCATCTTGTACATTTCACGCCTCGAAACAATTATCTACTAAAAATAACCAATAAAATATCTCTAAGTCCAACTTAAGAAAAATAAAAAATAAAATCAAAACACCAAGCTGATGCAGTATATATATGTACTTAAACCCCTTCACTTGGTACCTTGCTCCCCGTCTCTTTAAGACATAAACGGGCACATCTAGTTGGCTGGCTAGGTGGCTATACATACTATCGTATACGCTTTATAGACGATACAATAGCTGAGTTGACTTCAGATGCTTTCGATAATCAAGACTATTTAAAAGCCTTTAATCGAAAATGGCGTAAACAAGCTGAAAAAGATAGCATGTTTCCATCGTCTGAAGGCACGGAAGTTAAAACTTACCCGCCTACAGCATTTATCCCGAGCTTTAATGCTCACCTTTCATATGTGCTTAAGACACTGAAGCGTAAGAAACGTCCAGTCGACCACCACGGACCTACTGGACCTAAGCCTAAAACTCACAGGGTAACCGAGAACGCTTAAAATCTCCGCCTGAGAAACATTAACTACATGTTATGCTACTTAATGGTTTCGACCCGTTTTTCCTTTCTCGCTTTATGACCCATAATCAGCTTGAGTGAGCAACTTGCTTCTCCTGGGTCTCAAAGCTGGTTGGGGGTTGTGTAATAGCCGGGCCTTCACATTAGACTCTACGTTATAAACGTACTCTTAATAGTACGAGGAGCTTAAGTTTCCTAAATGGGTTTTAACGGTTTTATTAATTAATACCTTTTCCCTTTTACACATCATATATTTGGACAAGGCCATTAAAAGGCCCCAGTAAAGTACAAAACATAAGATTTGGTCTAGTTCTATTAATATAACTATAATTACTTTCCAATTTTATTTATATCTGAATATTTTGATAGCGAGATGGCTCAACCGAAAAATAGGTTTCCAGTGACTATTAACGTTACCTAGTTGATCCTCCGATCAGCCAACCAGATGTGACAGTCTGATGAAGGGTGAGTCCGTAATTCTTGATGAGTGGCAAGTTATTGGTTAAGACAATAACTAAAGACATCAAGAGCATTTTTTCTTTTCTTTTCTAAAGATAGGATTTTATGAGTCGCTCAGATTCGCCCCAATGAAACATACCATAGTTTCTAATAGAGCGACAACGAAACACTAAATAATATTCCTTCGGCGTAAACAGTACTGAGAGGTTTATATATAGGCAATGTCTCAGCCTCACAATCCCTCAGAGTTTTGCTGTTTTCACGAGGCATACCTAACTATACTAAAAGTCTCATTTCGTTTATTTACTTTGAAATTTTTACGATACCTAGAATTTACCTACGCGTTTATTTATTCTAAGGCGTTAATATTGCCTAGATAGACCGAAGCTCACAACCTAAAATCGGTATAACGTTCAAACACGTATCTGTATGTGCTCCGTTGTCCATATTGAGTCCTTGTGGGTTGAAGAGCGTCATCCTCATTAGTCCTAACATTGTTCATCCTCGGTCAATACTACTGGGCTCTTTTCGTTAACGATGTCAGTCTTTTCTATATCGTTGCCTTTCGTCGAAGAGTCTGTCGTAGAAGGTTGAGGCTGCGTATTCGGATAGTCGTGTCGGGAAGACCGTTGGTATATGAAGTCGTCCTGGTTCCGCACGTGCTGGTTCATTAGCGTTTGCCGGAATTTGCGGTTAGGTGAGAAGAATTGCATCATGTTTTGCTTGGTTAGGCGGTAGATCGGAGTATGTCAGCATTAGTGGAGTCGGCAAGAGGGCTCAGTAGTGCATCCATGCTGCGGGCAAGAATTTTTGGCGCTCGTTCATGTGTGCAGCGGGCCTCCCGCTTGGTGCGGAGATAGTGGATTAAGGCTGCTTTCGTAGCGTCGGGATGTTGTTGGGAGCGAGGGTCGATGTTTTCAGTACAATCTCGTTCGGGAATAGATAGAAATAGATCCCGGCGGATTATAAAAGCAGTTCATGTCCAGCGTTAGAATTCAGAGTTCAGACTTTCACTAAGACTATAAGGAACAGAAGGACGAAGAGGACAAAGACTGCTTGTATCGTAAACCTTTGAATAAAGCTACTGATACCGAATTTGGGAATTTAGATTTTTTGGCGCCAAAATTGTGATATTCATTTTTGGGCCGACTCTTTTAAAAAAAAAAGATTATGATTTAAAAAAAACAACGACAACAACAAATACTTCAAGAAGACGTTTGTTTTTAAAAACATAAAAAATATCAAACACGAAGTATGTATTACATTTTAGGAATTTAGATTTTAGGGTTTAGGATTTTTTTAAAAAACCAGCCAACCTCTTTAGGGGTTGCAAATTTGCGCAAGGCAACTTTAAAAACTCGTAAGACGTGAGTATTGTTTTAGAATGTATTTAGACTGTAGAGTATAGTGTGTAGATTACTCTAGTAGAGAGTAGAGAGAGTGAGAGACTACTACTTGAGAGAGGAGAGTGTATTTATTTACTGGGTTGGTATGTAAACGACACCGACATTTGGGCAAACGACATGTCATACTTGTCGCGGCGACATTTTGTAGGACATCTCCGTCGCGACATGGTGTCGGCAGGTCTGCTGGTGGCTACATCGTAGCCTACAAGCCCTACATACGCATACCCATACACATGTCATACATGTCGCGACGACATTTTTTTCAGGGGTGTATGTCGTTATTATTTACTTTTTATATATAGACTGGATCAAGGATTATTCACAGATACATCATACAATGGGTAATCGTGGAGTTGTTTTTAATAACTAAATTATTCTAATACTTTTAGAAAGATCCTTTTCATTTTTTTTACTATTTAGTATTGTTAAAAAAAAAAGAAGAACAAATCACATAAAAAGAACCGGGTATGGGCGACTTGGCGAGAGTCTGCAAGTGGCGAGGCTCTGGAGTTTGGAGTTCAGCCCTGTATTTTTAGAGTGTAGAGTTGACACTTGACGAGAGTTGTATTTACTGCTCTAGTGTATTAGAGTTTATAGACTTTAGACTGTAGTGTAGAGTTAAAAGTTTTAGAATTCCTAATAAGGCACTGGGTATATATATATATATATATATATATATATATAGTATATGTATATATATATATATATATGTGTAAGTATATATTGGGGGCTGGGGGCCGCCTGGGGCCCTGGGCCCACTGCCTGGGTCGCTGTGAGTGAGGTCACTGAGGTCACTGAGGTCACTGTGAAAGTGTGACTGGGGTCAACTCAGTGGTCACTGGAGTCCGCAGCAGTGGAGGACTGGAGGCTGCCTGGAGAAGTGAAGGGGGTTTTAATTTTTGGAGGGTTGAAAATCAAAACAGAAAAGTAAAACCTCACACGCCATGAATATTCAGACATTCTGCAAGAAATTCGTAAATACATAAATACACATCCAGCGGTATTTTTTATTAAAAAAAAAAACAACATGCCTCAGTGAGTCTGGGCTCCGAGCCTCCGACTCACCGAGTCCTCTCTATTTTTAAAATACACAGAGTAGTAAAGTAGACTCTCTAGTGACTAAATAGTCTCTACAGAGACAGAAAAAACAAGATATTTTTTCATATTGACAA